GCACTGGGAAGGCCCAAAGGTCAGTGATAGAAACTTGAAAGTCTGTGTCAGCAGGTGAAGGATCTGTGCCACCAGACTGAGGGTTCTGCACTGGAGCCAGGAAGCAACACTCAAAGGAAGGACCAGAGCTCACCAGAAGAGGACTGCAGCTGTCCTCAGCGACAGTGAGGATCCGAGCTCCTCTGATGATGAGAGCAGCTAATTCATGTCAGGAAAACCACTGTGACAAACTTCTCCAGGAGAATCAACAGCACACCACTATCCTTTCCAGCTCTGTTTCTATGCTGTTGGCAATAGTATAAAGGATTAGTAAACAACCAAAAGGAAAAATAACTCGTCTCTAAAAAATAAAGTATTCTAAACAAGAAATGAGCAAATCAACTGAAAAAATCTTTTCAAAAGAAGTAGAAGTTTCCAATAATCACATGAAAAACTGTTCAACATTCATAACCATTAGCATAATGGAAATCAAAAGAATCTCGAGATTCTATTTCATGCCAGTTAGGATGGCTATCGTCAAGAAAACAACAAACAAACATGCAGTAAAAGGAAAGAAAAACACTAATCACGTTAACTTCAAAGAGCAGATTAGTTACTAGTGTTTCCTTACAAGATCGTTGGTGTGTATTACATTCATTTTTTCAATGATGAAGGCAAACACCCTGTGTCTGTAGCCTCTGCAGAAATTCTTGCCTTTGCTCCCTTGCAATGTCCGGGACAAAAGCAGAGGCTGTTGCTCAGCCCTTTTGCCCAGAGCTGAGTGTCTCTGACCAGCCCCGGGAAGAATGGGGGCTGGAGCTTCTCATGATCTCGGAGTAGCACAGGGCACCTCGCAGACCTTACACCCTGTGATGTTCTGGGAGCCCAAGAGGGCAGGCCTGGCCCAAGGGGCTCAGGGGTTTCTGAGGCTGTGAGCTCCCTGAGGAGCTTTGGCTGTGTCAGAAGCAAGCAGTCACCTGAATCCTGTGTACTTCACCTGTGCATTTAACCTCTGCAGCATCCATAGATCCCAAAGGGTGATCCCCTCCCCAAGGAACTCAACTGCTATAAGGTCCTCATGGCCCTTTACCTGGGCAGGTACCCGATCAGTTTCTTGGGCAAGCCTGAGATCATGAAGATACCCTCTACCAGGCAGGATGGGCTCTGCTACACTGACACAGTGCTAGAGTCCACAATGCCATGGCTTCCCAGGTCAGGAGATGTGTTCCCTGCAGCCTTCCCTACCTCCCGCCTCAACCCAAAACTTTCCTATGGTCACTACAATTACACGAAGCAGAGGCTGTGGATCACCAGGGACCTCAGCTTGAGAGCCTGGTGAGGGTCCCAGTGAACCCCTCATGCACACAGGGAACCTCTGCAAGTGTCCACCATAGGAGAAGAGTCCAGACCTCTGCATCAAGAAGGTGCTGAAGGCCCTTGGGCGATGCGCAAGAGGAAAGAGGAGGTTAGAGGAATCACTCTGGCTTGAGGCCCCGGACCACAAGAACAGGAAGCCAAACCCAGAGGCTAGGCCATCTGCCTCTTCAGAAATGGAATCACCCCTTCCCTTGTGCCCAGGCTGGGGCCAGTGAGCTGAAAAGCATGCGCTCAGTGGCCTCCAGCTCCCTGAGGAGGAAGATGCATTTGTGCGTCCCCACAAGCCTTGCGCTAGCCTTCCCAGTACGACCTGCTGCGAGAGCCATGTCAGCCCAGGACACCACTATGTCACACCACCTGGTCTGTAGAGCTGGGAGCTCAGAGCCTTCCTCCCTCCCCAGGGGCCATACCAGGAAGGCCCACCTGCCCCTCAGCACACCTTGCCTGCTTCCCCCTTGGCCCCTGGGAATCAGTGCCCACGCCCCCACTTCTGAGACTCAAAGTGTAGCCCTTTCATCATCCTGACCCTTCCTGGACCCCACAAGAGAGACGGAGCCGCCAGGTTGCTTTCCAGCACTTCCTCTGACAGGTCTGCCACCCCCCAGGTCACCCCTGTTGTCCTGAGGAGACCACACTGAATAGGCTGTGACTATAGAGTGACTGTACTCTTTGCTTTATGATTCGTATGTAAATCTGTTCAGAAAAGATGTTGGTGAGTTCTATTTGTATTAGAAGTTGGTGTCACTAGAAATTTTAAACTTGGGCTGCAAGAATAAGCAATTCTGCTTCAAGAGTAAGCAATGAAGTATCCTAGTGAAAGAGTGGGTCGATGAGAAGACACCTGAATTTCCAGGACTGGCTTTCAGGATTCTTTGCAGCTGGTTCTTGCTCTCTGTTTCACCCCCCACCATCCCCCTCCCTCTCAGGAATGTCCTTGTCTCTGAAATGACACCAGGCCGCAACCTTAGCCTACTTGGCCACTTGACCCGAAGCCTGTTCTCTTCGTTTCCCTGTCCGCCCTCTAGCGACCAAGCCTCCCCTTGGCTTCCCCTCTGCCTTTCCAACCAGCAGCAGCGCTAGCCAGGGCTTCTAGATCGTGATTCCCAGTGCTCCTTCCCTGTGTCCCACAGCAGAGGGGTGTGCAGAGGGGAGGCCAGAATACAGGGACCACTGCAAGGGGGTCTCTCAGAAGGGAGAAGAGATCGGGCTCCACTCCAAGCACTGCACGGGAAAGGGGGATTTACAGCCAGGCTGTGTGCTCTCTTTTGTTCACTTACAGTCTCCAGAGTTGTGTTTTTTCCTGCTTTGCCTATGGAGACATGGTCACACTGACAGTTTTGCCGCAGTCTCTAAGTGGCCGACCCAGGATGCAGTTCCGGCGGTCTGACACTAGGGCCATGTATGGATTCCAGCTGCTCTGGCTGCCAATGGGGACAAGGGAGTAGCTGTGGGACAGAGAGGGACTAAGGAGTCACTGAGCAGGGCAGAGACCACAAGGCCAGCTGCACCTCACAGACAGGGACTGAGGCCCCGGGAACTGCAGGGCCAGGGCTTGAGCCTGGCAGCATCCCAAAAGCCCTGGGCAACTAAATCTGTTCTGTCTTCCCCAGGGGCCTCCCTGTGGCTCCCGAGAAGCCAAGACGCTGGACAAATATTTGTGGCTGCCTTCTGGGGATTCTTGAGAGCAACATCACGAGCTCCTGGTAGGAGGAGAGGGCACGTACCCCATCCCATCCCGCCATCTCCTGGCACCTGGAGGCAACCAGACACAGTCTGCCAAACATGGCCATCACCTGGACCGCTGTTTCCTCTTCATTGTGAGATGTTTTGTCTCTGCTCAGCTTTCTTGGTGTTTGATTTATACTTCTTGCATTTTAGCTAGTTCTCGTGGCATCTGACATTTCTTAACCAACTATAATCCTGAACACCTTGAGAACGTGGAGCTTCCTTTTTTTGCAGCCCTGGAAGGTGAACCCAGGGCCCTTGCACTGAGCTGCATTCTCAGTCTTGTTTGTTTGTGTGATGATTACTTTAAGATGTCTTCCTAAATTGCTGCATTGCTGGGGCTGGGCTCAGACTTGTGATCTTCCTGCCTCAGCCTCCCAAAGTGCTGAGATTACAGATGTGCATCATCACACTTGGCTCCAAGGAGTTTTGCCATACACTTAGCTGCTGCAGATAGTTTCTTTCTAATAAACAGACAATGAATGAAGGAAGGAACAGGCCTGGGGGCCATATCCTAAACCTCCTCCTGATAGCAGCACGCCTCCCTGATCCCCAGTTTGTGCACAGAGTCTGTCCACACGTGGGTGGGTTCTGATCTGCTTTCCTGGAGCAAGCAGCAGCTGCTCACCAGTGGATGTAGACAGAACACTAGGAACCTCAGAGGCACTGGGCCTCATGGTTTTATCAGCCTGCAGATAAAACGAAGTTAGAATTGCGGCAATCAGGGTGGGCCTGGACTTCTTGAGTCATTCAAAATGATTGTGGGCTGGCTCTTGGATCTTTGCCTGCCCTGTGTTTCTGGGGTTCCTTTGCTCCCTGTCCAGCTGGTAGCATTGGCCCCTTGGGGGAACTTCAGGAGCCCCAGGGCCTCCCTGGGGAGGTGAGAGGCAGGGCGTCCCTCCCCCATTCCTTCCACTTCCTGCCTCTGTGGCAGCAGCTGTGTCTCCTCCGTGGCCCCAGCTGCCTGGGGCAGCCTCTGTCATCCTGCTGGAGGGAGGGTGGCCGGATTTAATGAGGAAAAGACAGCACACCAGTTAAACTCAGTCTGCGCACAAACCAAATACATTTTTTAACAGCAAATTTTTTAAATTGTGGTAAAATAACAAATTCAGTGTAACATAAACCTTACCATTTTAACCATCTTAAAGTATATAGTTCTGTGGCATGTGATACATTCTGTGGTGTTTTTATACTAGAAATGCCCTGAGGGTCACATTTAGCAAGTGTCTTATATTTGAGGGGGACAACCTAGCTGGGGAGCCCTTGTTCCTGGGCTCTCATAGAACAACACCTGTTCTGTGATCCCTGAACAGGTTTCTCTAGCATTTCTGCTTCCAGTTTCCTTCCTTCAAGTCTCCAAATAACAGGTCTAGGACTGAGGATGTGGCTCAGTAGCAGTGTGCTTGCCTGCTCTGTGTGTGTCTGTAGGTCTGAGTGTGTAGGTCTGCGTGTGTGTGATAATCTGTTCCATCCCCAGCACTGCCAGGAAAAAAAAAAAAAGACCTAGGGTGCACCCTATCTGTCCTTTCCCTGGCTGGCCCACGATGGAGTCAGACAATGAGAAACATCTACTCTTCAGTGGCAGGACCCTGGATATTAGAAGTTCCCTGCGTAGGTGAGCAGGTCTCACTGGGTGCCCCAGCCCCCTTCTGTACTCAGCACGCCATCTCCCTGCTCCACGAAGCAGGTCAGGAGTCCTTTTCAAGCTCAGGTGCAGCCCCCGCCCCCTGCCAAGGTGATTGGCTCCCCGTGTCTGTCCCCAGGGTCACACGGTCCCCTCCCCCTCCGCCCACCTGCCTGCCTTCCTCACAGCTCCTCCTCTGGCTTCGCCCTTCCTGTGGCACGTCTGACACGTCCCCTAAGTCTGTGCCCCCCCTCCCTGCCCCATTTCAGACAAGACAAAGGAAAGAAAGGGTGGCTTTTGCTGCATTCACTACTTTTATTAATGAATGCATGAACAGAAACAGCTGGGCCTGCAAACATTCCTGCTGAGCTGGGACATTGTAAAAGGAGCCTGGATCTTAACCTTTTGGTTCAGGGAGGGAGTCAACTCACTTCTATGCAAGGCCGGAGGCCTCTCCCTAAATCACAAATCCAGAAACACAATGCGAGAGACTCTCACGAGTCCTTAAGGCCAAGATGAGCTGGGGAGGGTAACAGTTCAGCCGCTGGAATCTGGACAAGAGATTCCTTTCATTGCTTGGCAACCGGGTACTTTTACATCCTTACACCCCAGCCCCGTGGAGGAGCGCACACTCCTCTGGGTGCTGTGTTAGGACGCTGTGAGCTAAGGATAGAACTGGAGTAAATTCTCAGATGTGCCCACTTCTACAACAATTCGATATCGCCGCATCTTCTGAGCGCCTGATCATTTTTCTAGGAATTCATTTCATTACTGCATTATAGGAAAGTGTTGGTCTGCGATGAGTTCAAGGGCACACTGTTCCTTCTCCAAAAGTCATTTTTTGTTGTTGTTTTTGTTTTTGTGTTGTGACAGGCTTTCACTATGTAGGCCATCCTGGCCTTGAACTCACTATGTAGCTGAGCGTAGCCTCAGACTCATGGTGATCCTCCTGTCTCGGCCTCCCAAGTACAGAGGTCATTCGAAGCAAAAATCACTTGAGCAAAAATCCCGAGTCTGTGTTGGTGTCTTAGGTACTTTTCTCATTGCTCAGACAAAATACTTAACACGCAGAATTAAGGGGGAAAAATGTTTCTTTAGCTCACAGTTTGTAGAGGTTTCATTCCGTAATTGGCTGGCTCCAAGGCAGGGTGGCACATGGCACAGGGGCAACCATTCATGGTGGTGGAAGACAGCAAGAGCAACAAGAAAGCTAGAGAAAGGCAAATCTCCTTTTGTCCCTTATGTTGATGCAGGCTATTGACTGTAAGATGCGTGAGTATACCCTTAACCCCAGCACTGGACCAGGAATCAATCACATTCTCTAGAGTCAGCCACCTCTGAAAAGCACCCCACCATGAGGCTTTCAGGGACATCCAGACGACAGCCATAGAAGTGTGAAAAGAGAAATGGCCCGAGGCAAATTAGCCTCTTTCTCTCTGCCTCAATTCCTTCTCTTTAAAATGGGTATGATAGCCAGATGTGATGGTTTATGCCTGTAATACCAGTACTCAGGAGTCTGAGCCAGGAGGATCACTGTGAGTTCAAGGCCAACCTGGGTTACATAAATGAGTTCAAGACCAGCCTGCACTACATGATGATACCCTGTCTCAAAACAAATAAACAAACATAAAACTAAGTATGATAAAGGCTCCTAATGATAACGGATCGCTGTGAGAATTCTAGCCCATTCTAGAGCTCATGACTAAAGCACAGCAGAGTACCTGGCACACAGTGAGGGGCAGATGTGGAAGCTGGTACCATCTTTGGTTGCTTCTTGTGTTGGCTTGATTGCTCAAGTCCACCAGATCATCTCTTCGTGTGTTAAACAAAATTTATGAGAGGCCTTGTTTTGAACTGAACCCCTGCACTGGGCCCCAACAGATCAGACCAGAAGTTGCTAGGTGCTATGTGATCATACTGAACTTTAAAATGAGCCGGTTTTCCCTCAAAACAGGAGATTTGCAGCAACCAGTTGAAAAGAGTCCAGTGTGCCTAGCTAGTATGATAAGGTAGCTCCCTTTCGTCTTAACCTTGTAAGGAAAGTCACTTTGAAACGGCCAGTCTGCTGCTTGTCCCTTAGTTACGCTTTCTTTAGCCCCTTGTGGCTTATAAAGCAAGCTTTCTCTGCTCAGTTTTTAGACACACGTTGTTTTTTTCTTCTTCAGTACTACGATGAAGCACAGGACCTATGAGCTATACCGCTGTCATACCTCTCTAGCTCTTTTTTTAAAAATTGGTGGGATGTCACTGAATTCATGGATCACTGACAAAAACCAATTTGATCTTTAAATGTGATGCGTTGGAATTTTGTCCTTTAACACATGGCATTATTTCTGTCTCACACCCTTTGGGAACCAGAGGACCTGCAAGATGAAACCTAGGCTGCCAGGGTCAGACCCTCACGGTGGATCAGCACCTGCGACCACCATGGTGCTGTGGAGGAAAGCCAGTCAGCTACCACAGTGTGTGAGGAGGGGGCCAAGCTGAGTCTGCAAAGGGTCACAAACTCAGAGTCACGAAAATGGGAGCCCCAGGAGGGCAGCCGAGAAGGAACCACCAGAAGTGAGTGTGTTAGGATGTGGCGGAGCCCAGCAGGCAGTCTGGTCTGCTTATAGCTTTCTTTCAGGCTTTGGGGATGCTTGAGGCTGCAGACTGCTGCTCCCTGAAGGCCCTCGTCCCCACCTTCACTATCCGAGTCACTCCAAGAAGGGATAGCCTTGCAGATCCTGACCTTGGAAAGGTGGAAAGGAGACCTTGCCACACCCATCTATCCTTTCAAATTGGCACTTGCCCTCTCCGTGGCCACAGACAGGCCTCCTGGCCTCTGGACAGCCCTTGGTGCCCTGGCTGCACCATCAGGGCCCTCTCCGCCTTTGTCTTTCCTTCACACAGCTCTGCGGCTGGAAGGAATGCTTTGCGCCAGAGGACTTGTGTTCCCAGCCCTAAACTCACATCCATAGTTTTCCTTTCTAAAGTTTCAATTGGGTGTCAACTTTTTCTAATTTGGAGAATTTCTGTAGAAGTCCACAGTCATTGAAAATCAGCCACTTCAGCGATGTTGGATCCTCTTTCCTATCAGCCCACAAGCTGTTAGAGCTAGTAGTAGCTGGCCTCATCTGATGGCACTAACAGTCCGGTCCTGTATTTGTCTGATTTACTTATGTTACCTTCCTGGTTCATAGATACACTTGAATTTGCAAATCCTAATGTAAACTTAGGACCCTCTTAAAGGCCTCCATGTAATTTCTGTCTTCACTAGAAGTGGGTGCACGCTCTTTTATATTTCCACCCTGTACTCCATCTCTTACTCCATTCCTCTCCCCAAGTCTCAGCTCAGTGACTTTAGTATCTGCATATTTCAAGACATTTAGGCCCTAAGAAGGAGGTTCCAGAACTGTCAAACTTTCCCTCACTAGTGGGTCCCCTGGTTAGTATTAATATTTTCAATAACATACAAAAAACTCTCCAGTATGTCAGGCATGCAGAAGCTTGTGGGAAGTTACTGAAGGCTCTGAAATGAGGTGTGAGTCAGTCAGATTTACATCTGGAGAAGAATCTTCCCGGCTGCAATGTGGAGGCGATGGGGCAGTGAGAAGGAATCTCTTAGTGACATCGGCCTATTGTTCCTGTCCCTCCCAGCTCTTGTCAGCTCCGCCACATCAGGGAGAGTTGTCTGGGTCACAATCTCCATGCAGTGTGGTGTCTGGCACACAGCAGGTGTGTGAATGCCTGAATGTCCTCGGGTGTCCCCCTCAAGTGTCCACCTCGCATCCGAGTTTCGCTAAGGAAGGCACTCAGCATCCTGATTCCTTTTGCCAGCTATCCTGGTGCACAGCACATGCTGAGGTAGGGGACACAAAGGATGGGAAAAGCTAGTAAATTAGGGAGTAGTTAAATAGAAAGTAACAGGGAGGATGCACTGTCTACACTCCAGGATGACAGGTGTGCCGAAAATGGAACAATCCTTTGGGAGTCAGGTGTGGTGGCAACACTTGCAGCTCCAGGTACATGTGAGGCTGAGGAGCAGGATCACTTGGGCCAGGGATTAGACATGAGCTGTGCGATGTAGCGGGACCTCACCTCAAAACACAAGAAAAACCCAAAATGGATCTGTTGGAACATCGTTCATCCAGGCCACCAGCAGTGACTTCTTTGGTGTCTGCTCTCAGTAGCTGCATGACCTTGGCTTTGTCACTGGAACTTCTCGGACCCCCTTCCTTCATCTGTAGAGTGGGGATGGGAGAAACTGTTGTTGGCTTTTTGCCAGCATTCAGTGAGACAACTTTTTCAAATCGTTTTGTAAGAACTTGGCACAGGTATACGTGAGCCTGTGGAGAGAGGATCCTCCTTTTTCTTCCCTATCACAGAATATGAAACCCAGGACCACTGTACGTGCTAGGCAAGCGCTGTATCATTGAGCTACAACCTCAGTCCTTTAAAAACGTTTTTTATGAAAAGAGTATTTGCTAGGTTGCCCAGGTTGATCTCACACTTGTGATCCCTTGCCTCTAAAGTGGCTGGGATTCACCTCCACATCCGGCCTCCTCCTTCTCCTCTTCACTTCTGATTTCTACCTCTTTCTTTCTTTTTGTTAGCTAGCCAGCTTCCTCATGTTTCTCTAAAAAACAAATAAAAGCAAAACAACCCCAAATCACCAAGCACGGTTAAAGAATGTCCCCCAAAACCCGTATGTTAAAAGTTTTGCCCCTCAAAATGCTGTGGTGGGAAGGAGGTGGGAACCTTAAGGCTGGAGACCAAAGACTGGCCACATAGCTCCCTAATGGAGGAGCTTAGCTTCTGTAAAGGCCAGACAGTAGAGAGACAGGGTGGGAGAGATGGGGGGTGCCCTTGACGAGGATTGAGGGACTCCTCCTCCTTTCTCTCTTGCTTTCTGGCCCTGAAATGAATGGTTTTTCTCCACCATGATGTGCTGCCTCAACCCAAACCCAAAGGCAATGGGTCAACTGCTTATGGATTCAAACTCCCAAAACCATGAGACAAAACTAATTACCTCAGGTCTTTGTTAGAGTGACAGAAAAATGATAAACATAACTGCTGTACAGAGTTGCTCACCTAGGAAGCGGACTCGTGGCACCTCTGGACAGCATGTCCTGTGACCTTTGCTTTGGACTCCTATGGAAAGTTATGTTCATGTTTTCTGCCCTGCGTGGCTCAGCACGTGCTGTGCACCTCCTAATCTGATGTCACACTGGGGTTTTGTTGTACCCCCTTATGAGTGACTGATTAGAGTGGCTGTCAACTCAGAATTTGAAGATGCCCTTTCCTGCAAACTACCTCAGAGGAATTTTGTATATTTTTCATAGCCTGAATTTTAATCAACTCACTTGAAATAAACTGTCCAGACTGGGCGGAAAATCTCTCTAGGCATTTTTATGCAAGGCAGAAGTAGAAAATCTTATTTTTCTAGACAGACTCCTTCAGGACCTCACTACCTAATAAAGAAGACCCAGGCAGGCCTGGGATGGGTTGGGACGGGGTCTAGGCTGCCAGCTTCCTGAGGTCACGTTAACTTGGTGCCTGGGCCAGTACTAAGAGGACACCTTAGAGGCAGCAGCACACTGATGCAAGCCACCTTCTACCACCTTCTAAGGCAAGCCAGGTGAGCACCAGGCCCACGCACTGCTGAACTGCACGTACTCACGTCAAGTCATGGTGTGGCCCAGAAGAGACCAGCACCCAATAGGATGGGGCACAGTCATAAACAGCCCCACTGGCTCCATCATGCTCTGCTTATCTCTGCAAATATTGACTCTAGGGGATCAAACAAGTAGCCAAAAAAGAACACAATAATATTTTCCCCCAGAGAGAAGATCCTGTTCCAAAATGCAGCACCCAGTAGAGTGGGCAGGAGGTGACAGACGACTCACAGACAGAAGGTCTTCGTGCAGGGGTGCTACTCTAGCTTGGTGGGCCCTTCAATATTTTATAGCCAGGGATCAAAATTTCAAGCCCAGCTCGGACAACTTAGTGACTTAGCAATATCCTGACTTAAAAAATAAAGGGCTTGGGATATAGCTCAGTGGGAAAGCCCTGGGTTCAAGCCTCACTACCAAAACCGAACAAATAAACACAATAACCATAACAAAACAGGCACCCCTATTCTGGATCATAATTTTTTTTTTTTTTTTTTTTTTTTTTTTGTCTTTTTCGTTTTTATTGGTACCAGGGATCGAACTCACGACTGCCTGCTTGTAAGGCAGGCGCTTATGCCGCTGAGCTAAATCCCCAGCCCCTGGATCATAATTTTTAAATCAGAGGATTGATCTCCCAGGCCAGCTCCTCATAGTAACGATACAACTACTGGTTTGGCAGGCATTGGTGTGAACCCTTTTTTGGGCCAGACACCTTCACAAGTCAAAAGCACCATGACAATTGTTCGTATGCCATTTTGCAGATGAGAAAGTTGAGACTCCAAGCAGTTTTGAGATCTGCAAAATGAAAGTCAGTCCGTAGGCTCCCTGGCGCAGCTGGATCGGAACCCCCGTACAGCTGCCTCTGCTGTGCATTGTTCTTGTTCTGGTTGTTTCAAGCTACGAGTTACGACTTTCTAGTTACAACTCAAATGCCTCTTTCCACACTGAAAGTCCATAGAGCAGGATTCTGGACAAAGAGCAGGGACTGAGGTCATTGCCTTGGCTAAGCCTCTACGTTGTTTATTATTTTGTAAAGATGTGGGTGGAAATAATTATTGATTCTCCATTCTGGTTCCTGGACAGGAGGAAGGGTTTGGAAAGTATTGGGAAGGCGCCCAGTGCAGCTCCCCAGCCACGCAGCGTGTGTGTGTTTGTGTGTGGGATGGTGGGGGTGACTACTGGCATAGTGACAGAAGATTCACTAGGACTCTCTTAACCTTTTCTTCTGCCCAACCCCCAGAAAACGATACAGTCTCTTGACCAGTGATTGTCATTATAATGTGACCTCATTTGGGTTGGGGAGAAGGAAGGGTAGGAGGATGAAAATAACATCTATGTATATCTGTATGTATGTATGTGGTAGTAGAGACTGATCCCAAGGAATGCTCTGTTACTAGCTAGATCCCCAACACTGTTTGCTTTTTGAGACAGCGTTGCTCTAAATTGTCCAGACTGGCTTCCAATTTGCGATCCCCCACCTCAGCCTCCCAAGTAGTTGGATTGCAGGTATGTGCCACTTACTCAGCTGGACAACAATGTTCTTACTGAAGATAATAGTGATGGCATTGAATAGAGGTAGAGAATGGAGAGGCGGGGAGAGTGCGTTAAAGCCGAGAGGAGCTGCAGTGTGCCAGGAAGGGCCAACAGAGCAGTGGGAGAAATAGCTGCCCTGTGAGGCCACAGAGAGAAGAGAGCATTTTACGGAGGCAGACTGGAGAGGGCTCAAGAGGAAGGCGTGCACCTGAGTGTGGGAGACGGAGAGGACTCTGAGCAGAAGCTGCTCTCTGGCTCTCTTGCTGTTAACATCCCGCCAACCACGAGCAGCCTCCACAAAGGCAGTTTCTAACAAGTTGCCAAGAGGGAATGTGAGGGGAAGTGCAGGAGAGAAAAGCAGGGCCCAGAAACCCCTCACAACCAAGGCGCAGGCGCCTTCCGACACCACCTCCAGAAAGCCCTCCGGGTCTACTGCTCTGGCTGGAGCTCACCACGGCTCTTCTGCAGCCTCCCTGTCCCCTGGCTTTAGAGTCCAGATTTTGTAGCATTAGAATCAGGGTTATAATTTTCTAACAAAGTTTTTTTTGGCCTTTTTCGTTTTTATTGGTACCAGGGATCGAACTCACGACTGCCTGCTTGCAAGGCAGGCGCTTACGCCGCTGAGCTAAACCCCCAGCCCCAGGGTTATAATTTTCTACGTACTCTTTTATCAGTGTCTTTCACATGGTATGTGTTGCTTTGTTGAATACCCCTCTTCACTTCTGATGTAACTCCTTGGAGGTGCCTGGTGGGAACTCCTGTTTTGAGTATGTGCAGGCCCCCTTACTCCTCCCCCTTTAGCAATGTGGAGATTTAAGAATGCCATGCTTTTAAATTTTATGCAATTCCCCTTGCCCTGTCTTTTATTAAAAAATTCTCTTCTTACCTGGAAGCCCTTTGAACTGTCCACACCCCTCAGAAGTGTTCATTACGCCGCCGTGCAAGTGGAGAAGCCATGCTCATTCCCTTTTTCCAGCAGCAAGTCCTGAGCCTAGAGATGTATGCAATCACTTCATCTGGCCGAAAGAGTACAGTATCTTTGTACCGACACACAGTGTCTGAGCTGATTTAGATGGTAAACCAAGGACCACCTTTTATATGACAAGTTACATATTTTGTTTTTATGTGCAGTAGAAAAAAATAGTATATTAAACCTGCACTGTCAGAGGTGTTATTACCTGCAGTGTTTTATTTAAATAAAGCAAGTGAGTTGGATTAAAGACAACATTAAAGAAATAATGAAGATATGCTAAGAGTTAGGAGGTTCTGGGGCTGGGGATTTAGCTCAGCGGCATAAGCGCCTGCCTTGCAAGTGTGCGGTTGTGAGTTTGATCCCTGGTACTGATAAAAATGAAAAAGAAAAAAAAAAAAAAAAAAAAAAAAACCAAAAAACAAAACAAAAAAAGAGTTAGGAGGTTCTTTGAGGGGCTGAGGTTTGGGAAATTCAGTTTAGTGTCAACCTGGGTGCTCACTCAGTCGATGAACGAGTGGAGTAGTTCTGTTGCCCAGTCATGGCTAGAGCAGGAGGTAGGAGAGCTGGGTGGGTAGCCTATGGCTCTGGCAGTGACCACAGGATTGTCCGATGACCTGGAGCGAAGGGCTTCCTTTGTTCAGGCTGCAGGTACCCTGGCTACAAAAAGGAAGTCGTACAAGGCCGCTTCTGTGGAGCGTGGATTCATTCTTCACTGCAGGCAAAGCTAGGCAGGAGGCTTGCGGGGAGGAGGATGGAGGACAGGAGAAGCCCCACTCCTCCCTGAGCTCACAGAGTGGCCGTACTGGAGGAGATGGGTGTAAGGCACGAAGAATAACACAGAGGACACAAACTCTTGTCTCAGGGAGCTGTGGGAGCAGTGCAAGGGGCCAGGTGAGGTTTACCTCAGCTTTGTGCTGTGTAAGGGACGGGCCTGGAATCCTGAGCACATTCTTCCTCCAAAGGCCTCCCCAATCCTCACACTGGCCTGCAAAGGATCAGCAAGCCGAGGGTCCTACTTTTCCTTGTGAAGGATTCTTTGTCGTCGCCCCCCACTCCGCCCCACCCCGTGGCCTGGTTCCCAAAACTGGATTATTTCATCATTTCCTTCCATTACCCAAAGCCCCCTCCCTCCCCCTCCATCCCGGGGCCGCGCGGCCGGCTCACGGGCTGTCTTCTGATTGGAGGAGGGAGGCTGCGGCTTAATTACCGAGCAACTGCGAAGCCCGGGCAGCCTGTAAGATCGCGGCACGCAGTCTCTACGTCCTTCTCCGAGCCGTTCAAACTCGTTTTTCATCACACCCGGCAGCAGTTTTGTCACAGATCAAATGTGCCTACAGCAATTTCTTGCCTTCCACCGCTCCCTGCTGAGACAAGAGATTGCGGAGTTAGAGCAAAGAGCATGAGCTGGGTTGAGGGCAGGGGAGAGGCACGGGTGCCCGCCGAGTGGGCCTGGGTTTCAGCTGCAGGAAGGGCTCAGCCTCTGAGGGGGTGTGTGTTGGGGTGGGGGCGGGGTGGGGACTGGGCCGGAGTCTGCAAGGAGAGGAAGGCAAATTGAAAGGCGGCTGGGCTGCTTCCCATCCTCTGTTTGTTTAGCTTTCCCTGCTTCTCGGTGGCCTCCAGAGGGTGAGAGTGGGGTGACAGGGAGATGACATAATGGTGGGGCATGAACAAGTTTGCTCAGACAGTATTGTGTGGCTGAGACACATTGAGCAGGCAGGAAAAAGAGAGACAGAGACCGCCTGGGAAGAAAGGGGTGGGGGAGAGAACGCAAGTACAATACTCAGAGTGAAGGTAGGGTCCCAGAGCAAGCGGGCTCTGTGAGCTGGGACAGGCTGGAGGGGCCATGTGTGCAGGCTTTCTCCAGGATGAAGGTCAGCGAGGGGGGCAGGGATTTGCCAGGAGGGGGGGGCGAGGCAGACAGATTCAGGATTAAAAAGTCCGCTGTGTTACAGGAGCCCCTCCCCATCGGAATAAGATGGGCTGTTGTTTGCCAGGGCCTGAAAGGTTTATTTAGCGATTCCAGATAGAGTATCACCAAACAGATGTAGTCTTGTTCCTGGAAAGAAAGAAAGGCCACAGCCAGGAAGAGGGGGGCAGGCCCGGCTAATGGTGGCAGCAGCCCGGTTCGGCTCAGGTTGTTCTCAGATCTGTGGTCGGCCTGCTCAAACCTGTCCAGGGAAGCCGATGCTCTCCTGCTGCGATCCGGCCATCTGCTTTCCGTCCTTCTGCAGTCGTCTTGCCTTCCTTCCCTAAGATGTCTCGTGCAGTGCCCTTACCTATGCCCAACACTGACCTAAACAAACAGACAGGAGTTGTCTGGGCCTGCCCAGTGGCATGGAGTCTGTCTCTCCAGCAGGCACTCTGCTGTTCCCAGGGGCTCCGTTCCAGGATGCTACAATGGCTGGGTGGAGGCATGTTGGGAAGTGGGCTTTCAGGCTGTACACTGCACTGGATGTGGACACCTTTGAGAGTCTGCTCTCTCAAACTCAGGAGGCCCAGATCAGGGGTCAGTACACTGAGTTGGTGGGCCAACTCAAGCTTCCATCTGTTCATGTAAATAAAATCTTATTGGCACACAGCCATGCTCATTTGTTTGAATATTATCATTGGCTGCATTTGCAGTACTGGATAACAGCAGACTTGAATAGCTGTGACAGAGACCATATGAAGCCTGAAAAGCTTATTATAGAAAAAGAAGGCCAACTCCCAACCTGGAGATATCTGGCCAGGTGACTCTGTGCTCAACACCTTCCTCCTTCGATACAATGTGACCCAAGGTCCTGCTGAAACCATCCACGATTTCTAAATTTAATGATCCCCAACAACCTTCCAAAAGGGAAGGGGAAAGATGTAACTCACTTAGGGAGTAGCACCTCTTCCCAAGGTTTGGTTTCTGGTGATTTGTAAGATGGTGAGCTGGGATGCTGGGAAGGAATGGTGGCTTGGCAGGGGCAGAACCTGCTCCCCAGGGAAGGGCCAGCAGTTTGAGAGCACAGGGTGAATGAATAGAGTGGCTCCCTGCCTGCTCAGAATCAGACCTCGTTTATGTGCAGATGTTCTCAACAATGAGAGGTACACGGAGGCTGGGCTCATTATGCTCCCCAAAGATGGCCTCAATATGACCTCCTGTGCTACCTCCTCTCTCTCTACCTCTTCAAATGTGGGCTGATCTTGTGACTATTCGAACAGTAGAATGTGCAGGAAGTGACCCTGTGGGACCTCTGGATGCCAAGATGCCTTGCAACTTTCATCTGGCCTCTTGGAGCACTCATGCTGGGGACGTTCCCTCTTGAAACCCAGCCACTATCTTCTGAGAAGCCCGAGGCACAGGAGAAGCCAATGTAACTGATGTTACTGACTCTCCAGCTCTGCTCCGGCAGCAGCCCAGGGAGTGACAGCCTGTGGGTCTTCAGATAACTCCTACCCCAGACGCTGTCCATTCTACATGAACATTACCCAGCGGGGTCCAGCCAACCCTAGATGCACAGGATTATCTACGTGGTTGTTTTGAAACTTAAATTTTGGAGTGGTTACCCAGGGAGAAATGATCAGAAGATGGCAATGGCACTGTGGACTGTGGAGGTGACATGGATAGCTGTGGCCCTTAGGTGAATCCCGGGCAGTGTGGTTCTATTGCTTTGAAAAGATTCCTCTGGTTGCAGGAGTTTGAGGTTTTCTTTGTATTCCTGGCATTCCCTCTTTTAGAGGAGAATCACCACTCACTCCCTAACTACAAACTATAAATCAAAAAGGGCTCTTTCCTTGAACCTACAAGGTGCTATGTGCTGAGCTCAAGGAATCCCTAACTACTCTACAAGGAAGATATTTCGCCCACATTACAGACGAGGAAACAGAGGCTTAAAAGAGTTGGACCGGTGTCATCCATTCAGTAAATGGCAAAGTCAGCATAAACATGGGGACCTTTAATGCATGCTCTGACCATCACTGGGACTGATAGTTCCTGTGGCTACTGGAGAAACAATGCCATGAAATATAAGGACTAAATACTTACACAGTATTTACAATGTTTAAAGCTTGCATTTGTTTATTTATTTATCTATCTGCTGGAATCAAACCCAGGGGCTCATACAAGTTAGGCAGGTGTTGAACCACTGAGTTACACCCCCAGCCCTGAAAGGCTGTTTTTAAAAGTGCCTAAAATATTTACATACAACAAGTCTATGAGGTATGTAAGTCTTTCTAGTCAACAGATAAAGAGACTCAGGTACAGTTTACCCAGGAGTAAATTGATGCGTTAGCAGTATAGATAAACCCATACAATGCCAGACATCCCTCCTAAACCTCAGTGATTGATTATGAGAAAGGTTTACTTCATATTCGGCCCTATAAGGCAGCAGACAAGAGGCTCCATGCTCTAATCCATCCAGTCACTTAGGAACTAGGCCAGTGGTGGTGAGTCTCTGGCACACGTGCCACAGGGGGCTGTTTGTATCACTGAGCGCTCTAAAAGGTTCGCCACTGATCTAGGCTGATGGAGATGCCTCCATTACAGTAGTCTCATCACTTAGATTTAATAAAGCATTTAGAAGACAGAACCCAGGGAGCCACGAAGAGTTTGTTTAATTGGCCCAGCCTAGAAGTAATACATCACTACAGTCACAGCTCATGCCCAGAACTAGTCCCACAAAGGGGAGGAGAACAGGGCATGTGTGAACATCAACAACTTCTGCCATAGGAGTTTGAGTCAAGCCTTGAGCCCAGGTGGTGGCGTGGCAATCTGTGTCCCCTGCCACACTAGCCTGCCTCTGAAACTCATCCTTTCCGTATCCAGGGCTAAGAACATCTAGTCAAGCCTGTCTTCCCTTAGAAGAACTTGAGTATGCTTAGAAAACCCGAGTGAAGTGCCACTGCATGCTCAAGCCTATGCTCTGAAGTGGGCTGCAGATGTTAACTTGGGGGTGTTGTTTCTTGGCTCCCCTTGGGTAGCAGAAGTGTGACACTTCCACGATGACCATGCGTAGGTCACTGAATTTCCCTGGGCCTCTTCTGACTTGTGAGAACGAGATGAGCTAACACCTATGAAAGCATCTGCACAGGCTTATTGCTTTCCCATTGTCATTACGCGTCACTGCCCGTCACCACGGTCAGGCAGATCAGCCACGCCTGACTTCCGCAGGGTGGACGTCCTAGAGGGCATTTCCACACCTTCTTCCAGGCCTCTGACGGCCACTGCGTTTTGACTACTTTCTTTTTCCTCTTCACACATTTGCTGGACGTTCTGTGTACCCAGCCAGTCTTCTCTCCTCTGCTTCCCTGTGTGAAGTTCTCTTCACTCCTCTCTCCTTTGCAAACATCTTCCCAGCTTTGTTAGAAGGAACGAGTGGTGCCGTCTGGACCTCACTCTGACGAAGCTTCAACTCCCCCTCCGCTCCTGTGCAGTGTAAAGCACGCGAACCTTTCTTGTGCACGTAGGGTACCAGCTGCACATTACCTTCCGGTGGAGACTGCATGCCGAGCAGGCCTGCACCTTGATTGCTTCATTAATTCATTCTTAACCTTTTCTGTAGTGGTGCTTCTCACTATAGTCCACTCAGGTCCACTTAAGGAGCCCCCGAGCTGAGTTAGGAAAACCAGAAGTCCTCCCCGCTGTTCATTTTGTTTGAGGGTGCACCAAGGAGAGACAGCTGGTCTGCACCAGATTCCAGCAGAATTTATAGAGATGAAGGACCCTTTCTCTGCTCAAGGTATGCTCTGATTTTTTGCGCCTTTTCTCTTCTTCCTGAAACAATAACTAGAACTGAAACCAAACCCATAATAAAAAAGTGCAACTTGTGCACACCAGATAATCAACATGCTATCCATGACACTGCATGTGATTCCTTTTCGAAATTTCCCTTAATTCTATCATATACAAAGATATCCAATTTCATGAGAATAAAATAAAACTACCATGAGATGAAACAAATACATCTCCACCAGAACAGGTATAACTGAGAAAAGTATATGCCAATTGGTGTCACTACTGTGAGCGAGCAGAGCCTCCACATCCTGCGGACAGGGATATAAACCCGCACATCATTCGACACACTTTTGAACTGTGTTCTAGAGTTGACCACGCACATACCCTATGATCCAGAAATCCTACATCTAGCTGTAGACCCCACAGAAATGTTTGCACATGCTCAACAAATGACATGTCCTGAGAAGTTTGGAGCAGCTGTGTTTATAACAGTAAAAAATGGGAAGTTATTCACTTGTCCAGCAACAGAATGAATGAGTAAAGTGCGGTGTAGTCACATTTTTGAATGCTACCCTTTAATTGAAAGGCTTCTCGAGCTCCGTGCAAGAATATAGGTGGCCCTCGTATTCATTACGCTGAGAAAAAAAACAAGGCAAGAGACAAAAACACTGCAGATTCTATGTTTTCATTTAGAGAAAATGTAAAAACAGGCACAGTTCATCCAGGTTACTGCAAGCACAGGCAATATTTACTCTTGCTGAGAGAAGAGATAGTAACTGAAAACACTTGAAGGGGGTTGGTTTCTGTAGGCTATTAATATTCTCTCTGTTGACCTGGGTGCAAGTTTAAATGGTAAGACCAATTTGTAAAATTGCTATGTGTACTTTCTGTGTGCAATAGTCCAATAAAATGTTTTAAGAAATATTACCATCTTTCTGATGAGCTTGGGTCTGGTTGGTCACTGGAACTTCTCCCCAACTTGGCTCATCTTTTTTAACTGGAGGGGACTGTACCCGGCTCTGAAGCTTCAGTAGGCAACAGTATCCAGCTCTAACCGCACAGCACGGTTTTGTTCTTATTGTGCTTGTTTATAAGCTTGTCATCTGTGTATAGCCATCCATACCCAGTTGCCATTTATGGTAGTGATATAAAGTTTGCTTTTAAAATTGCCTCAAGTTGGGCTGTGGATTTAGCTCAGAGGCACAAACGCCTGCCTGGCAAGTGTAAGGTTGTGAGTTCAATCCCTGGTATGAAAAAATAGCCTCAAGTTTAAAAAGTGAGTTGACTTATATTACAAACTTGTGTAAATGAGAGTGGAGGTGGTAATTATGGCAAACTCCGTGAGGGTGGAGTTCAGGCACCACTGTTCAAAGGGAAAGGAGCAGGAATTAGGGGAAGGAAGCTGACTCCTCTCAGCCTGCCTCCATCTCTGGCACGCTCCACACTGCCGAGCACAGATGGGCTCTCAAGCCCAAAGACACGTCCTTCCCAGAGGACTCAGGAGAAACTTATAGAGGGACTGTTCCCTCTAAAACCAAAACAATGGGTGAAGCGAGCTACCAGCAGCACAAATCTTGGGTTCACTCAAAAGACATGCAGCCAGTCTCTGTGTGCTGCTGTACATGCTGGGCAGCCAGCAAAGATCAAAGTGGCCCAGCTTTCCCACATTGCCAGGTCTCAGCTGACTCAAGTGTGGGTCATTTAAAATGCAGACCTTGTAAGGGTAAAATTCTGGTGACCGAGGTTCAGATCTCTGAATCAGTATCTGGAAGAATGCATGCGAAGCTGTGCAACCAACCCATGACCATGACTGAACTGAGACCGTGACTGACAGTAAAGTTATGGAGGTAAACACTTAGTGGAAAAATGCCCATAATGCACAAATCCTCTTGATAGGCATCTTTAACTTGCATACACAATTTAAATGTCCTGTTCTTCCAGATACCTGCAGTCTAATGGTGGAGATGAGAAAGGTCACGTTCCCAGGCAGCAGCTTGAAATGTACACGAATCTTTCTTCCATAATAGTTGCCCGACTCCATCTTAAAAAGCACTTTTAAACTGGGTATAGTGGATTATACTTGTAATCCCAGATAATAGGGAAGTTGAGGCAGGAGAATTTCAAGCCCCAGCCTAGCCTGGGCAATTTATTGAGACCTTGCCTCAAAATGAAAAAATGAAAAAGACTGGGATGTAGTTCAGTGCAAGGCCCTGGAATTCACTATATGCCTTTTATTTCACAAAACATATGCTAGGTCTTAACCTCAAGGCGGCAGGTCTTTCTGAGTCTCACTGGGACTAGGAGAGGACTTAAAGAGGCCATTGCTGGGGTGCACATGTGTGTATTTGGAGTGAGAAAAGCAAAACTGGTCATTAACCTTGGAACTAAGAGAAAATAATTAGGACCCGGTCACAGACTCATCAGAAAGGGAAATTCCATTGCATACTTATTTGTAAAGTCAGCATGACCTTGCCTGCTAATCTCCACAGTTTCGGTCAAAAAATTCAAGATTTTTAAAGGGAGGTAGAAAAACAATGAATCTCAAAAGACAAATATCTGAATGAATTAGTTTCTCAGTAGATTTTTCATTACTTTCCATCCACCTGTGGGAATTTACATGCAGCTAGAATGAAAACCAAGGGCCCTGCCTCAGTATTCCTGAAGTAAGTGTTGCCCATTTTTTTGGAAGTATCTACAGGCTATTAGGTGCCAGGCACTGTATCTTGGACCCAGGTATGTGCTGTGCAGTTTCATGACTGCTAGCTGTGTGTGGTTAGCAAGCATTTGAGTTTTGGCTAATTTGAATTGAAATGTGCTCTAAGTGTAAATGCGCATCAGAGCTTGAGAATCTACTGCACAAAAAGACAGTTAAATCTCTTCATCAATAATTTTTAATAGGCTGGTCCGAGTGCAGTGGTGTTTACAACTAATTGATCACAACCAGTTACAGATTTCTTTGTTCCTTCCCCACTCCCACTGCTTTGTTTGATTAGCCTAAAAAAAAAAAGTAAATAATAATTTTTAATACTGATTACTCATTGAATAATACATACTTGGGATCCACTGTGTTAGAACACATTACTAACATGAATGTCCCTATTTGTTCTTTCTGTATTTCGAAGTGGCCACCAGAAACTTTAAAATCACAGATGTGGCTCACACTTGCTGTTCGCAGCAGACTTCCTTTGGGCATACTGGGCAGACCCTGTCCGGCTCTGCAGGAGTTCAGGGGTGGGGCCCACAGGCACCCCTGTGTGTGAGACCTGCACTTTCCATAGCGCTGGAGAAGCAGCTCTGTTGCGCTCTGCTCCGCAGTCTCCCCGTGCTCACCAAACTGACTGCCACAGGAGTCAAGTGGATTTCCTGCTTGTCTTCCTGGAGTCCCCTCGGTGCCCAAGTGGATAGACTTTCCCCTCCCCCACTTTCCTTCCCATTTCTGTGTCTTTGCTTCAGCAGGTCCCCCGTGCTTTCTCCCTGGTGTGTTTCCAGGCTTCCGGTTGACTCACCTGGGAAACTGCACTCCCATCCTTCATCCACCAGAACAGCTGTCTTCCTCACAGCCTCTGACAGCCAGATAGTCCTTTGTCCCCTATAACTCTTACCCTCTGTATTCCTTAAAATCAGGAACTTGCGCTCCCAGAGACGTCTAACTCAAGGGGCCACAGGATGAAGCAGCTGCTGAATTGAATCAAACAGTCCCAAAGTTAGGAAAATGGTGGGAGAAGGCACCGGAAGTACTGGGAATTCAAATTTGAATCGAGAGTTTAAAAGGTTTCTCACAGAAGGATCTCCCTGAGAAGGGCGGTCACAACCCAGAGGGATGGCTGAGCACCAAGGCTGAAATGTCCTGCCTGAAATGAAGGGACTGGGGGCTTTTTGAGTAGATGACTCAGTCAATCAAGCAGAACAATGGAAACCATGCTTGTCATCCCTGTTACTGGAAAGAGCTTTAACCAGTCCTACCTCAGGTCTTTCTCTCATCTGAGGGTCTGATCTTACCTTTCCACCCCTGCAGCGGGGTGTACTGGGCTATCACCAGCAACAGTCGCCTCTGGATTTGGGGATGGTGGCCCACGTCTCTGAAGCATTATTTGGAGAACAGGATTCGGGGGAGAGGAAAGGGGCAGATTTCTCAGGGTCTAGAAATTGCACTACGGTTCTCCTGTGTTGCAGTGCTCACTAAAGGGGCTGTTTTGGGCGAGGCTGGTGTAGCGGGTCTGAACCACTCCCAACTCACCCAAGGTCATTGTTCCGAGCAGCGCGCTAGCTGTGAGCTCTACCCCGAGGGTGGCAGTAGTCGCTGTGAACCCTGAAATCTACCGAAGGTCCAAACTGTGCCTCTCTGCTTCCCCAGCAGTTAGCCCAGCGCGCGCCACATGGCAAGCGCGCAAACTAAGTCCGTCCAAACAGAAGTAAGAGAGGAGACAAAAGCACCAGCTCTGCCCCGCTCCCAACCTCGTCCTACCCAAGCCTGCGAGTTATTCTCAGGCGTCAAGGGCCCCGGCGGGAGGAGCGCGGAGGGACGCGGCCACGGGGAGTGGGGCACCCCAAGGGCGCTCACCGCCGCGGGGTGTGCGAGTGGGCGTGTGCGCAAGCACGTGCCTGCGCGCAGGAGTGCGGGGGGAGGGGGTGGTCTCCTCGAGGGGGAGGGGAGAAGGCAGGGGGCGGGGAGAAGCAGGCTTTTTAGCACACTGCTGCGGCGGCTGGCGAGGAGAAAGAGGCGAAGGTGGCGGCTCACGCTCTCGCTGGGCCGCGCCACCTGCCCGCTCTCCCGCCGCAGTAGCGCCCGCCACCGCCGACATGCTGCCGAAACTGGGCGGCCCCGCGCTGCCGCTGCTCCTGCCGTCGCTGCTGCTGCTGCCGCTGCTGCTGGGCGCTGGCGGCGGCCGCGGGGCGCGCGCCGAGGTGCTGTTCCGCTGCCCGCCCTGCACGGCCGAGCGCCTGGCCGCTTGCGGGCCCCCGCCGGTCGCGTCGCCCGCAGCCGGGTCCCTGGGGGCCGGCGGCGCCCGCGCGCCCTGCGTGGAGCTGGTCCGGGAACCGGGCTGCGGTTGCTGCTCGGTGTGCGCCCGGCTGGAGGGCGAGGCGTGCGGCGTGTACACCCCACGCTGCGCCCAGGGAATGCGCTGCTACCCCAAGCCCGGCTCCGAGTTGCCCCTTCACGCGCTGGTCCACGGCGAGGGCACTTGCGAAAAGCTCGGGGACGCCGATTACGGCGCCAACCGCGAGCAGGTTGCAGGTAACGCGGGCAGGGACCACGAGTTGGGACTAACTTGGAGGCAGCGGGGCGGCTCTGCCGGCGGTCGCTGTGGAGGGAAAGTGTTTGGCGGGACCACGGGGACTGCCGTAGAGAGGGAAGAAGAGGCTTTGCTCAGATCTGGGGAGACTGTTGGAAGCGAGAACGCGAAAGTCAGGCCCCGGGTGCGGGCTTGGAAGTGAGCCGCGGAAGCCTTGGCTCCCAAAGTGGTCGGGACAAATGGGGCGAGGAAAGGCACCCTTGTTACCGTAACCTCCCCGGGTTGGGCCGTGTCCGCACTTCTATTCTGGAAGGAGAATTTGTTAGGGAGGAGGGTCCGATCTTTGGGCGTAGCTTGAGTCGATGACCTGCGCTCGGAGGGTCCTAGTGGGAACCTGATCGGAGGCCGAGGCCACCAGACGCTGGTGACACCGAGGGCCACGGGTGGGATGGGGGCGCGGAGAGGAACATCGTGGGACCTTTCCTTTTACTGCGCTTGGGAAGGGAGGAGGAGGACCTGGCACTTACTTGTAGGGTGAGTTGGTTCGGAGCACAATTAAAACGAACGCTAGTATTTTACATAGAGAATGGAGAAGGTTCTTTAAGCAGTGTTGGATGGTAAAATAAAAGCGCGCGCGGGGGAAGGGACGGGAGGTAGGGAGGAGAGAGGAGACCCCGGCTGTTGGATCAGTGTAACTTAAGCCAGATCGCCGGCTGCATTCCCGGGTCCCTGGCTGCCTGGCCATCCGGTTAGGCAGCTGGGCCCCAGGTCGGAAGGCAGGAGCAGCCGGGGCCGGGGAAGCGACGACTCGCAGTTGAGTGTGACCCTCCCTCCCCTTCCTAACCCAGGGAACGCTTCCTGTCCCGTAGAATGGGGAACCCGTGTTCTTTGTTAAGGGACCCTCATTCTTTGCAGAAAGGTAACCAGGCTATAAGGAGTTCACTCTCCCCACCCCACCCCCCTTTTTAAATTACAAAAGCCCCCTGCCTCCCTGGTCAGGGGAAAGCTGTAACTATTTCTTTCCTCTTGCAGACAGTGGTGAAATGTGGCCATTGCTTGCAGCTGAAAAGCAAGCGAATCTGACCAAGTTTCTCACTAGAGGAAACAAGAAAAAGTGCAGACATTCTTGCTTGCTTCTCAGCTTTGTAAGCCCCCCTCCCTTCCTCTGGCCTGCTATTGTTTTGTTCTCTGTTCGCCTTGAGAATGGAATTAAGGGTCAGAGTTGAAATCTTGCTTCTATTTCTCAGGCACGGTTTGACCTTGAGTACAGAGAGGTAGGTAGTGAGTGCTTCCTCCTCCGTGGAAACCTTCCGATCCTTTCTTCTGCCTCCCAGCCTGCTTTGCAATTAACCCTTCCCTCCTGCTACTCTTCAGTATTAATGAAGGTAAAAGACTTCGGGGCATCCTCTTCCTGTGAGGTGCCTGTTCCCATTCCTGAGGTCCTCCGCCATCACCTCTACCTCTGGCTTCCCGTGGGCCACGCAGGAGGTTTTGTGCGGTCTCTGAGCTGAACTTGGACAAACTAAACCTCTTCCTCAGCAGGGTGAACTTTTCCAAAGGCCTTGTGTGATCCCTTTGGAGTCTGACTGTTTTAATAAAGCGTGTGGTGTATTTTCTTCCTCACCGTTTTAGTGTTTTTTCCATTTTTCATTGGTCTCCCCGGAAGCCTGAAATCCAGCTCTCCTGCTTCCCAGGATCGCGGAGGCAGGTTCCAGGCTGGGGTAAGCAGCAGATGGGGGAGGGAGGTACTCTCCCAGCCACTTTTCCTTTTCCTGAGTGTATGTGTGGGGGTTTGTCAGGGGAGCCTGAAGACAATGGGGTGACTTACAGGAAGAATGCCACTCTGGATTTTCGGCCTGGGTATGGGACTCCTTTCCACCAACTTGCCCCAGTTGCCTGCTCAGCCTTCTCCCAGAGCCTGCACACCTTCCGCCTTTGTCTCCTGTTCCACTTTGGGAAGAGGGGACATTAAGCAGAGGTAAGGGCTCGAGGGTTAGAAGCCGAGTTGGTGCTCTTGAAAGAGATGACCCACACGGGGAAGGGGATGGGGTCTGTGGGGAGAATCCGGCCTGGGGAAACTCCCTGGCAGAAGTCTGGGCCAGCAGAAGAGCAGAGAAGGGTGGTGATGAGGGGAGAAGGTGGCCTGTGAGGGAGGGTCCTGGGCCAGTGCAGGCACTGGGGCCACCGGCGAGTGCTAGTGTCCAAGTTGGGGTGGGGTGGGGACTGCTGCATAGGGTAGGGCAGAGACCTTAGCCCTGAAAGCTGTGGCCTACTATCCCTCTCCTGTCTCCTCCTGGCCCCAAGAATGAGCCCCCCACCAGGCTGCATTCCTCTTTGAGCAGGTTGCTTTTGAGAATTTTAAGCATACCCTCTTATTTCGAGGCAGCAAACCCCAGCAGTTCCGGCTTTGCTGTTAGCTCTTTTGTCTTTGTTCCCGGGACTCAGGGGCTGTGTTGCCGGCTTCCTGGGGATGGCAGGGATGCAGGGGGTGGGGGTGGGCACATCAGCGGGCTGGCCGGTTGGAAGTGGGTGATGGTGAGGCTGCATCTTGGGGGAGGGGGCGATGGGCTGGGACTTGGGCCACCGGAACTGAGGAGTCAGACTGGGGGATAGGGGTAGGGCAGCCTGGTAAAAAATGCAAAGGGAGCCTGCGATCCGCCTGAAGTCGAGACTTTGCAAGTCTGTGGTGAGGTGGTGGAGTAAGCCGAAGCTTCTGGAAATGTGGGGTGTGGGGTTGAGGGGCAGGCCTGGCCCTTTGAGAGTTCTGGCCTGGCTGGTCCCGCAGTGTCTCCCAGCTTTCTTCCCCACAGGGGTACAATGCCGGGGATTATGCTGAGGGGCGGGCCGCCGGCCCTCTGCACATATAAAGGTGCTATAGAAATGTGCAGTCATTCAAAGTCCCAAAGGCGCGTGAGCAGGGAGGGAGGCTCCATCTCCCACTGCGGGGGGAGGCCGAGGGGGAGAGGCGGGCCTGATTTACAGTGGTTCAGTGCAGCCTCAAAACTAGGGGGAAGAAAGCAATGGGACTTCTGGCCGGGAGCACTGCTTTGCATCTCGTCTTGCATAAATTTGCATACCGAGTTCAAAGTCGTAAAATAGACTGGGGAATGAGTGGGACCCACTGTCACTGATTGTTAACACCACTACCTTCCGCCTCCCCTCCCCCCTTCTGGACAGAACTCCTTGAACCAGCTCAGCTAAGTTCCCTGTCGGAGTCACCCCAGGAAGACTTACGAGGAGGGGGTGGGGGCTGAGGCTGCAGCTCCTGGGTTTTCTCTTGGACACAGAGAGCTCCTTGGTTTAGGGACTAAGTGGGGTGAAGCTCTGTGCCCCTTGGAGACAGGACTGGCTGCAGGGTGACCAGAGGGGTCCAGTGAGGGTGCAGTGGGTGTTCTTTTTTGTGGCTAGGGTAGGCCAGGGGCCTGCTCTGTTTAAAGTCCCCCGCCCCCACAAAGGACTCTTGGAGTAAGTGCAGGAGCCTAAAGGGGAGAAGCCACCTGTTGTGATAATGAGGGTCAGGTGGTTATTCTTGGCCAAATTGGGCTATTGAGTTTCCTGTCAGGCAAAGGGAAGAAGGAGGGTTAGATAGCTTTCCGTGCCTCATTTTAAATGATGGTTTCAGGCAAATCCTTCTTTTCAGTTAAGGGAGTCATGGAATTTAGTGCTACAAATGTGCCCTGCGAACTTCCAGTTGGTTCTCAGCAGGCTGTTCCCTGCAGTTCACCCAGTGGAATGGAGGAAGGGTAAGGACAGGATACGTGGAGAGCCAGGCCAAGCTCTAAGGGGATTGAAGGACTGCAGAAATCAGCAGGCTTGGGGCTGGGGATTTAGCTCAGCGGCATAAGCGCCTGCCTTGCAAGCAGGCAGTCGTGAGTTCGATCCCTGGTACCAATAAAAAAAATGAAAAAGACAAAAAAAAAAAAAAAAGAAAAAAAAAAAAAAAAAAGAAATCAGCAGGCTTTATGCTCCTTTGGTTTTGTTGTTGGTCTTCCCACACTACAACACTACCAAGAAAAATAAAGCTGAGGGCTTTGTTTTAAAGGATCACATTCAGGGACTGTATTTTGCCTCGGTTTTTCTTCTCCTTTCCCAGGGTCGTCTTTCTCCCCTGCCTTCTCCATCTGTTCTTTTGATCCCACTAGACTGCTCTCTTCTTTCTCATGCCTTTCTCTTTTTTTTTTTAATCGGTACCGGAATTGAACTCACAACTGCCTGCTTGCAAGGCAGGAACTTATGCCACTGAGCTAAATCCCCAGCCCCTATTATGCCTTTCTCTTCCTGCACCTTTGTCGCACCTGGCCCAACCAGGACTACACATAATGGGCTCAAAAACTAGTGTGGAAAATACGCTGGCCCCAGGCTGCCTCAGATGCAATCAGAGGGAGACCGCGCAGGTGACTGGAGACTGGGACCTTGAAAGAAACTGATATCCTTGAAGGAGGAGGCTGGTTGACTGGCTGAGCAGGAGCTGGGATTTGCAGGAAGGGACTTCCTTGGGCAGGGGAGCGTAGTCCAGGGGCTGTGTCTGCCACACTGAAGGCATGGAAGAGAGGTGGTCACATTGGAGCTTCACCAGGGGAGCCGGGGATCTGGTTGGCAGATGTCGCAGGCTCCTCTGTTTTCTCCTTGTTATCTCTGGCCTGCATCTTCCTGAGGTGGCAGGCAGCCATCGGGAGATGGGTCATCCCCCCATCTGTCCTTGTTCCATTGAAACAGACTCCTCGCCTGTTGGTCTCCTGTCTTCCTCTCTTCCTGCGAGGTGAAGGAGGCCTTGCTGTCTTTCTCACAGATGTGGATGTGGGCTCAGGCCAGAGGCCCAGTAAGTGAGGGGCTGAGAGCCTGGCCGCCTTCCCTCTGCACCCCTTTGGCTCTGCAGCCGAGCAGGGGTTGGTTGTTGGGCTGTTGGCAGCAAGAAGCCTTTGAGCATATTGGCCAGCAGTTGAGTTCTGGACACTTGCCATGTGCAGGTGAGGGATGGCCGTGATCCATCCCATCTCTGCTGGATTTGGGTTACTGTATTTGGTTTCCCTTGATCTCCTTTGCAAGGCCCAATCCTTGCACTGGGGGACTTCAAAAATGTAAGTGGCTGGCTTGCAGTGGTTAGACAAGACATGAAGAAAGGTCCCAGAGAATCTCTGGAGAGGAATAGCTGGCAGGCAGCTGCTGATGTGGAAGCAGTCTGGACCTAATTGTCACATTGACCTGGTTCCCAAGAAGACCCCTCTCAGAAGAACTCAGTGCTCGATTGCCATCTTTGCTAGAATAGGGGTGATTTTATTTCTTTCATGGTGTATATGTTAGGCCACCTGTGGTCACAGAAAGTGCTTGGCACTTAGGAAGGTTATTAGCCTTGGCAGGTGATACCTCTTCTCTGACAGAGGCCAAACTGGACAAGTCAAGACAGGCCACGCATCCTGCATGTTCAGATCCCAGCTGGCCACTGTAGCAGTCACCAGAGGCAAGAGGTTTATCTTCACTGAGTCTCAGTGTCCCTAGCTGTACACTGATGGTCCTCACTGCATGGGATTGGTACTCTGACTGAGAGTACGAAGGTAGGCAAAAAAAAAAAAAAAAGAAAAATCAGGCCTAAGTAGTTGGTTTTGGTAATGAGTCATCTGATTTCCATCTTTTCACCTGTAAAGTAGGAACATGCTTCCCTCCTGTGACTCACTTTCACAGGACAGTAGGGATACCTTGGGAAAAGGGTAATGGGATTGTACTTTAACCACAGCATACATCCAGCTGACAATAAGTAAATGGTTTGAGGTCAGCAGGCTTGGATTTCTTATGGATGAGTTAGGCAGTGAATATTCTTTGGGGCCCAAGGCCTAGATTATGGAACTGACCCTTGGGATTTAGGTCACATCTGTCTCTCTCTCTGTCTCTGTCTGTTTGTCTGTCTCTCTTTTAAATGTAAGTTTATTGGTACAATTTAGGTATAGAGAATGACCACATTCATTATAGGAAACATCTCATTTTGCGGTGCCTGGGATAGTGACAGAACGAAGGACTGGAATTTGTAGTGGTGACTCCAGAGCTTGGATATCCGGGGTTTTTTGTAAGCTTTGCTGCTTATTGGCAGGTGACACAGGATTGAGTTTGGCCTTCATCTGCCCAGCCAGCCTAGAGGACACGGCCTTCCATCTGTTGAGTTTCTAGAAGGCTGACAATTACCTGAGACATATCTAGGGTAGGAGTACAAGGCCCTTTTTCTATAGATTCCTTCCAGAGGACCCAGGCTGAGGATAAGAAGGTAGAAGGTCAGGTCTTGAGCCAGGTCATCCTAATGTGCCTGATAATTAAATTGCACTGAAGGGTAGCTAGTCAGAGCCAGGGAAGCCCCTTGGAGCCCGTTTCTTACTCCAGGTAAAGGGGGGCTTTCAGATCTGCAGTCTCGGAGCCTGGGATGCCAGAAAGTTGAACATGATCCTGGCAAGGAAATTGGATGTTTCTTCCAGAATGACATTTTCTCACTGCATCCTCTCCAGAGTTGACCTCACTGCTGAAGGGGGAGCTGCTTTGTGTAGTGAGTGAGGGGTGAGCCCTGGGTGGGAAGAGCTTTCCTGGTGCTGGAGGCCTTCTTCATGGCACATGCCTGTGTGTGCAGTGACCAGGGTGACTGTTTTCAGGCACCACTGAGGAGGTAGGACCTTGGGGAAGCAGAGAAGATGTATGCTTGAGACTTTGGGGTCACTTTATAATAGAGTGAAACCCAGGACAGTGGAGACAAAGCATAGTAACCATCATCAGAAATCTAGGGTGAGTGGTGTCTTCCAGAGAGAAGGGGAAAAGGAAAGGAAAGGCCCAGAGGAATAGTTTGGTCCTCAGTTTCTGGAGTACCTCTACTTGTTCAATGAAGAGACTTGTGGGATGCAGGAGATTTTTTTCCTGGGGGAGAGTGGACCATTACTCCCACCCACCTCAGACTCCTAGCATCTCTCTCTCCTGTTCTGGCTGCTCCTGTTCCTTAACAAAGCCAGGGAAGATCTGGGCTGGCTCAGCCTTGGTGTCAGTCAAGACTCAGAGGGAGACCTTGCTAAGAAAGCTGTCTCCCCCAAAAGAAACAGTCAGCTGGAGTCAGGAATTCCCCCCCCCCCCGGGGGGGGTGTACTTGGAGGCCTTGGAGACTTTCTGGCTGCCAGCCCCACATCTCTTCCTGGCTGTTAGGAAGCAGGGCAGAGTGAGGACTGGGGAGAAGGGGGCAGGGGCTGGCAAACCTCCAGCCGCTGGGCAGAGGAATTGGCCTGCAGGCCCTGGTGACTTGGCCCAAAGCAAAGCCTGGGGAGGTTTCTAATTAGTGGAAGGGTGCAGGTATGTCAGCCTGCTCTCAGTCAGGGAAGCCAGTGGGGCCAGGGAGTCTTGGATGAGAGTGGGGTGGACCCCTGAAGGCCTTGTTTGTGGCTGAGGATGCAAGAGGAGCCTGCCCAGTGTGTTCCTCTTGATGCAGAATTGGGAAGATATGCTGGGGGGCTTCTTGTTGGAGGAGTCCCAGTTAGATTGTGAGGCACAGAGAATCATTACCATTAAGCAAAGGGTGATTGATAAAACAATGGGAGGTGCTTTGCTCTAGACATCTTCCACTTTTTCCAAGAGCCCCTAGGTTGGTTATTTGGTTCCTCTGCCCTGCCAGCTCTATTTTAGTCTTAGGATTTTCCCCACTTGTCAGGAAGAGAAATCAAGGTTGTCTTCAGGTTCGTGTGCCCGGGAAGCTCAGGTTTCTGGGCTCTCATTCCAGTGCTCTCTGCTCTATCAGACTTCTACACGCACAAAGGCAATGAATTGCATACTGTTTCTTGGAAGTGCTCCTTGTCCGTGGGAGGCAATAATTAAGGCATAACTTCTCAAAAATGCTCCTTTTTGCAACTCTCCAGGAAGTTTCTTTTCGGTCTATTGTCTTCACTTCTGGATGGAGGTGCCAAGTTGCCTCTGGATGGTGAACTTGCTTTCTAAAGTGCCTGAGGCCACGAAGAAATGAGAATGGCAGGTCCCCTGTGCCCTCCCCCAGGCCCGGTGACTGTCTGATAACGCTGGGTGGTTTCCATAGCAACAGTGGCGGGAGATGTGCCATGCAGGATGAAGGGGGAAGGGTGGGATGGTTTACTGGGTCAGAGGCTTCTGTGGTTGGGTGGAACCAGCTGGCATATGACTGGCCTTGGTCCCTGGGGGGACAGGGATCTTACAGAGTAGCAGAAGTAAAGTGCTGGGGTTATGAGGTCTTGGTTTAGTCATCTGTGCCATTCTGGGTGGTTAAGGGCTATCGAGCTGAGCCACCTGTGTTTGGTTTTGTCCCTGGCCCTGGCTCCATGACTTTGTGTTGTTGTCTCCAACTCTGTGCCTCTTTTATGAAGCCTGAGAGCAGATAAGAAATTATCAACCTTGTGACTGCAAGTTATGCAGTGCAGGCACCTGATAATCAAGTGATGTTATACAAGTTTAGATTCTTTTTTTACCCCTAATCTCAACACAGATCAGGAGAAAGGCCAGTGCTCTTTAGATGTGTTGTGACTGGACATCTTCGTCCTCTTAGGGGGTGTGGCTAACTGGACACTGCCTTTGGCTTTGGGAAGCCTTTAAAGGATCCAAGGGTGGAGTCCATGTTTTTCCAGTGGGTAGTGTGGCCATTGAAATTGTCCCTTTATGGTTCTACCAGTAGCTTGGTGGCCAACCATGCCCATTTATACCCTAGAGACGAAGATTCTCTCGGGAGTCTCTGCTGGCTGTCTTTGGCTTGGTTTGCTGCTTCCTAAACCAAGAGGACATAGCCAAGGAAGGCGACAGTGTCATGCAGGATTAGATCAGACACAATCAGTGAACTTTTGGTTGAAGAAAGAAAAAAGCATGGTGACCTATTTAAAGACACTTATTTATATTCAGGACACTTCTTGTGCTGGTTTGAGAGTGTGGCTGACAATCCTGGACATCTTAGCAGGTTTCAAGTTTCTTTTTGCAT